CAAACATGTTTCTACTTGAATTTGGGAGCTTGCAGTTAATCAGAAAAACAATTAAACACACTTCATAGCTTGTGGTCAGATAACAAAATATCTGATAGCTGCATTTTTTTTTCAAATAGTTGTTTTTGCAATTAGTGAAAAAATAGTGACCAAAAAAGAGCTAAATTTAGATTAGAGATTTGTAAACCAGGCTTCTTTGGTTTTTATTTTAATTGTATTATGTGATAATTCTGCATTTTAATTGGCACTTGGATATCAAGATGATAGACACCTTAAAATACAATTACAGAAGAATTTGCAATGAAGAAAGACACTGTCAGAAGTAGAGGCAAAACTATTTCAATCCACAGCAGGTTAGTCACAACATGGGTAAGTACAATCCTAAGAATGCAAGATAATCCTATCCCCGTCATCGTTTAATGTCAAGCCATTATAATAGAGGAAAAAGGGAAATAAACGATATTAGATTATATGATTTTTATGCTCAGTCATACAACACATCCCTCTTATTTGAACCTCAGTGTGGTGTTTTCTGTAAACATTTGCACTAGCCAAATTTTTTGTGGCTGAGTATTTCATATAGTGTATGTTACAAAACCTCTTCTACATAGGTAAATCTTGCATATATCTAGACAATAATTGCAAATGTGTCATTAGCTTATTCTATGGGGCTCAAGACACCGAAGCATTGATTTCGCTCTCAGTTTTGCAATGTACCAGTAAACTACATTTCACTGGAACAAGGTGAGATTACATTTTCATTTTAAGTGCAAAGACCAAGGACTGAAGTTACGACACCAGTGACATAAATTACAGGATATTAATAAAAGTGTGACTATTCAGATTCAAATGAAAATCAGAAAGCCGGGAATTTTAATAACTTTTATTTTTTCACACATCTTAAGAAAGTGTTTCTAGTCAAATCATGAGCAGCTGGCACTGGAAATGCAAAGCTTCAGCCAGTTCCAAACTCTTTTCCTGGCTGACGCACTTTGAAAATGTCAGCTCCCCTTTGGCCAAAAGCCAGAAACTCGGCTTCCCCAGCCAAAAAGGCTGTCTTGCAGGGCCAGAAAATGGCAATGCACGTGCAGATGAGGACCTGGGCTCTCTTCCTACAACCCCATTTCCATTAGATGCCCTTTTCCTAATGCAGGGCAGAAGATGCAAGGGCAGCAGTGGAAGGGATACTGCCGCAACCCAGACTGCATCCAAGAGACTGGACTAGAGAGCAACGTCTTGGGGACTCCTCTCCTCCTGGTCCATGCCAGAAAGGGAGTGGGACACGGAGAACCTTCAGTATCCACTCCTTGCAGCTACCCACAGGAACTGCAGCCCTAGTAAAGCTATAGTGGCATTTTCAAATGTTTATGTGCAATCCTAAGTGCCAGAAACTTTCAATAAAAAGTAAGTGGAGTGTCTAATGAAGTCAGACTGCCATGAACTGGAATTTAACCAAGAACATGCAATGTCTATATACTTACAGCTGCTTCCCTTTTGGTGAAAGCTATGAATTCTTCCGCATTTACCAAAGCTTGTGGTGTCCAGCAGGTAGTCACTATATCTTTTTGGTCTTACCACTAGTTCATAGTAAGGAAATTCCCGTCCGTTTTAATGCTGTAATGCATGAGAGCAGGAGACAAAGACTTTTCCTGTCAAATGAATGTAGCCAGAACAGATACTCAAGCTGCAGCCTAAAACAATCCCTCCTGACTGAGCAACAAAAAGGACTCTCAAAGTTAGAGGATGAAGAGCTGCCAGGTGGCAAAAAGTCTACCCACTGGAAAAACCACCCCCAGTTTTGTGCTGGAGGAGACTGAGAAGGAAGAGAGTGATCTTTCTTTCCAGTAAAAGTCTAACAGGGCCAAGCACAGTGGAGAAGGAGAAGATGGTCCAGTCCACAGCAGATACAATGAGGATAAGCAGACCATGCTCTTACCTTCTTGAATTTAATTTCAAGGCAATGGCTGAGTCATGATGTGAGTCTCCCTGTTGTTCATTTGTCTTCTGTGGTTTTGGCACATGTGGAAACAAAACTGGAAACCCCAACCCAAAATGTGTTCCTACATTGATAGGAACAGTCACCCTGCAAACATTCATTAGGACAATTCAGTGTAAGCCCTTCTCCATGTAGTTGTACAAACAAAGCACCTTGCTTCAGCTGTTAAGAAATAAGGTCAACAGAGACTCTGACTTGCCTGAGTCTCCCCAGTATTACAGCCCTGAGCAGTAAAAAATTAAGAAAGAGATGAGCTTAAAAGAGAATATTAATTATAAAACCAATTCATTTGTGGTTCTTGCCCTTTATGTTGTGTTTTCAGGATCTTTCAGCTAAGCTTGCCCATGTGATCTCCTGGTTCCTAAAGCCTGCATTTTCAGAAAAAAACAAATTATCAAAAGACTTTCCAAGCACACCTCTGAGAGCTGGCAGCATTTCATGTTTCTCATCTTTCTGGTATGTACCAACACCTAGGGGAGTATTTGCAAAACCCCGAGATCATCAACAGCCCTTCAGGGCTTTTCTAGCTATCAGGCTGTGTTTACTTTCTTCCTTCAAACTTGGCTTTACAGACCACTTGGTAGTCTATGGCAAGCTGGCAGGTCATACGGTGTTGACTCATCTTTTTTGTTTCCAGATATCTCTCTCAGATAGTCAGACACTCAGGCGAAGCAGCCCAGACGCTCACAGAAGAAGCTGGGACTAAGATGGAGACACAAGCTGCTCATTTGTCTGTATTAGGAATTAATTCCTGAAGAGAGGTAGGGAAGAAAAATGTGCTATCCTGACAAAGAAAACCACTAATGAGAAGAGATACAGCATATCCTCTGAAGCAACTGCAGTAGGTACCGGAGAGTGAGAGAGAATGACCAGGCAGAAGAAGAGCCTGCAGGAAAGTGAGGCAGGCAAGGAGCTGGCGGAAGGGCATGTGGGGCACAGAAACAGAGCT